CCAAAATGCCATTTCTGACCCCATTTCTGACCCCAAAACGCCCCTTTCTGACCCCAAACCGCCCGTTTCTGACCCCAAAACGCCATTTCTGACCCCAAAGTGACACTTTGTGACCCCAAAACATAACTTTCCAACCCCAAAACGCCATTTCTGACCCCAAAACGCCATTTCTGACCCCAAAATGCCATTTCTGACCCCATTCTGACCCCAAACCGCCATTCCTGACCCCAAAGTGAGACTTTCTGACCCCAAAACGCCATTTCTGACCCCAAAATGCCATTTCTGACCCCAAAATGCCACTTTCTGACCCCATTCTGACCCCAAACCTCCCGTTTCTGACCCCAAAACAACATTTTCTGACCCCAAACCTCCCGTTTCTGACCCCAAACCGACATTTCTGACCCCAAAATGCCCCTTTGTGACCCCTTTCTGACCCCAAACCGCCCGTTTCTGACCCCAAAACACCATTTCTGACCCGAAAGTGACACTTTGTGACCCCAAAACATAACTTTCCAACCCCAAAACGCCATTTCTGACCCCAAAACGCCATTTCTGACCCTAAAAATGCCATTTCTGACCCCAAACCTCCCGTTTCTGACCCCAAAATACCAATTTCTGACCCCAAAACGCCCCTTTCCGACCCCATTCTGACCTCAAAACGCCATTTCTGACCCCAAAATGCCATTTCTGACCCCAAACCGCCATTCCTGACCCCAAAGTGAGACTTTCTGACCCCAAACCGCCCCTTTCTGACCCCAAAATGCCATTTCTGACCCCAAAATGCCCCTTTTTGACCCCAAAGCGCCATTCCTGACCCCAAAGTGAGACTTTCTGACCCCAAAACGCCATTTCTGACCCCAAAACGCCATTTCTGACCCCATTCTGACCCCAAAACGCCATTTCTGACCCCAAACCTTCCGTTTCTGACCCCAAACCGGGTGTATTTCCCTGCAGAACAACCCCAAGATCAAGGACATCCTGGGCAAGTCCAAGGGGCAGCCCAAGAAGCGGCTGAGCCACGTCTACGACCTCTGCAAGGGCAAGAACATCTGCGAGGGCGGCGAGGAGATGGACCACAAGTTCGGGGTGGAGCAGCCCGAGGGCGACGAGGAGCTGGCCAAGGAGAAGGTGAGCGCCCCAAAAACCTCCTCAGCCTCCCCAAAATTCACATTTCTGACCCTAAAACCTCCTGGTGTTCCCCAAAATTCACATTTCTGACCCTAAAACCTCCTCAGCCTCCCCAAAATTCACATTTCTGACCCTAAAACCTCCTTGTGTTCCCCAAAATTCACATTTCTGCCCCTAAAACCTCCTCAGCCTCCCCAAAATTCACATTTCTGACCCTAAAACCTCCTTGTGTTCCCCAAAATTCACATTTCTGACCCTAAAACCTCCTTGTGTTCCCCAAAATTCACATTTCTGACCCTAAAACCTCCTTGTGTTCCCCAAAATTCACATTTCTGACCCTAAAACCTCCTCAGCCTCCCCAAAATTCACATTTCTGCCCCTAAAACCTCCTCAGCCTCCCCAAAATTCACATTTCTGACCCTAAAACCTCCTCAGCCTCCCCAAAATTCACATTTCTGACCCCAAAACACTTTTTCCCCCATTTTCCCCCATTTTCCCCCATTTTTCCCCATTTCTCACCATTATTTCCCCATTTCTCACTGGTTTTTCGCTGTTTTTTCCCCCATTTTTCCCCATTTCTCCCCATTTTTCCCCATTTCTCCCTGGTTTTTCCCCATTTTTCCCCATTTTTCACTGTTTTTCCCCATTTTTCCCCATTTCTCCCCATTTCTCCCCATTTCCCCGTTATTTCCGGCAGGGCCACGGCGGCTGTGGCCGTTACCAGCCCCTGTTGATAACCCAAATAATTCTCATTTTTCCCCATTTTTCCCCATTTCTCCCTGGTTTTTCCCCATTTTTCCCCATTTCCTCCCCATTTTTTCCCCATTTTCCCCATTTCTCACAGTTATTTCCCCATTTCTCCCTGATTTTTTCCCCATTTTTTCCCATTTCTCACTGTTTTTTCTCCATTTCTCACTGTTTCTCCCCATTTCTCCCCATTTCCCCCGTTATTTCCGGCAGGGCCACGGTGGCTGTGGCCGTTACCAGCCCCTGTTGATAACCCAAATAATTCTCATTTTTCACCATTTTTCCCTGATTTTTCCCCATTTCTCCCTGGTTTTTCCCCATTTTTCCCCATTTTTCCCCATTTCTCACCGTTATTTCCCCATTTCTCACTGTTTTTTCTCCATTTTTCCCCATTTTTCCCCATTTTTCCCCATTTCTCACTGTTTTTTCCCCATTTCTCCGCATTTCTCACTGGTTTTTCCCTGTTTTTCCCCATTTCTCCCCATTTTTCCCCATTTCTCACTGTTTTTTCACTGTTTTTTCCCCATTTTTCCCCATTTCTCACTGTTTTCTCCCCATTTCTCCCCGTTATTTCCCAGGGCCACGGCGGCTGTGGCCGTTACCAGCCCCTGTTGATAACCCAAATAATTCTCATTTCTCCCCATTTTTCCCCATTTCTCACTGGTTTTTCCCCATTTCTCCCTGATTTTTCCCCATTTTTTCCCATTTCTCACCGTTATTTCCCCATTTCTCCCTGGTTTTTCCCCATTTCTCACTGGTTTTTCCCCATTTCTCACTGTTTTCTCCCCATTTCCCCGTTATTTCCGGCAGGGCCACGGCGGCTGTGGCCGTTACCAGCCCCTGTTGATAACCCCAATAATTCTCATTTCTCCCCATTTCTCCCTGGTTTTTCCCCATTTTTCCCCATTTTTCACTGGTTTTTCTCCATTTTTCCCCATTTCTCACTGGTTTTTCCCCATTTCTCACCGTTATTTCCCCATTTCTCACTGGTTTTTCCCCATTTCTCCCTGGTTTTTCCCCATTTCTCCCTGGTTTTTCCCCATTTCTCCCTGGTTTTTCCCCATTTCTCCCTGTTTTTTCCCCATTTTTCCCCATTTTTCCCCATTTCTCACTGTTTTTTCACTGTTTTTTCCCCATTTTTCCCCATTTCTCACTGTTTTCTCCCCATTTCTCACTGTTTCTCCCCATTTCCCCGTTATTTCCGGCAGGGCCACGGCGGCTGTGGCCGTTACCAGCCCCTGTTGATAACCCCAATAATTCTCATTTCTCCCCATTTCTCACTGGTTTTTCACTGGTTTTTCCCCGTTTTTCCCCATTTCTCCCTGGTTTTTCCCCATTTTTCCCCATTTTTCCCCATTTCTCCCGTTTTCCGGCAGGGCCACGGTGGCTGTGGCCGTTACCAGCCCCTGTTGATAACCCCAATAATTCTCATTTTTCCCCATTTCTCACTGGTTTTTCCCCGTTTTTTCCCCATTTTTCCCCATTTTTCCCCATTTCTCACTGTTATTTCCCCATTTCTCACTGTTTTTTCCCCATTTCTCACTGGTTTTTCGCTGTTTTTTCCCCATTTTTTCCCATTTCTCACTGTTTTCTCCCCATTTCTCACTGTTTTCTCCCCATTTCCCCGTTATTTCCGGCAGGGCCACGGTGGCTGTGGCCGTTACCAGCCCCTGTTGATAACCCAAATAATTCTCATTTTTCCCCATTTCTCCCCATTTCTCACTGGTTTTTCCCCATTTCTCACTGTTTTTTCCCCATTTTTCCCCATTTCTCACTGTTATTTCCCCATTTCTCACTGGTTTTTCCCCATTTCTCACTGTTATTTCCCCATTTCTCACTGGTTTTTCCCCATTTCTCACTGGTTTTTCCCCATTTCTCACTGGTTTTTCCCTTCTCACTGTTTTTTCCCCATTTCTCCGCATTTCTCACTGGTTTTTCCCTGTTTTTCCCCATTTCTCCCTGGTTTTTCCCCATTTCTCACTGTTTTTTCCCCATTTCTCCCCATTTCTCACTGTTTTTTCACTGTTTTTCCCCATTTCTCCCTGGTTTCTCCCCATTTCTCACCGTTTCTCCCCGTTCCCCCCGTTATTTCCGGCAGGGCCACGGCGGCTGTGGCCGTTACCAGCCGCGCATCCGCCGCTCGGGGCTGGAGCTGTACGCCGAGTGGAAGCACGTCAACGAGGACTCTCAGGAGAAGAAGATCCTGCTGAGCCCCGAGCGCGTGCACGAGATCTTCAAGCGCATCTCGGACGAGGAGTGCTTCGTGCTGGGCATGGACCCCAAATTCGCCCGGCCCGAGTGGATGGTGTGCACCGTGCTGCCCGTGCCGCCGCTCTCCGTGCGCCCGGCCGTCGTCATGCAGGGCTCGGCCCGGAACCAGGTGGGGTTTTGGGGTGATTGGGGTGGTTTTGGGGTGTTTTGGGGTGATATTTGGGTTATTGGGGTGTTTGGGGTGACATGGGGCACCGTGCTGCCCGTGCCGCCGCTCTCCGTGCGCCCCGCCGTCGTCATGCAGGGCTCGGCCAGGAACCAGGTGGGGATTTGGGGTGATTTTGGGGTGTTTTGGGGTGTTTTAGGGGTGTTATTGGGGTTATTGGGGTGTTTGGGGTGACATTGGGGTCCCTGGGGCACCGTGCTGCCCGTGCCGCCGCTCTCCGTGCGCCCGGCCGTCGTCATGCAGGGCTCGGCCCGGAACCAGGTGAGGTTTTGGGGGGATTTTGGGTGATTTTGGGGTGATATCGGGGTTATTGGGGTGTTATTGGGGTGATATCGGGGTGTTTGGGGTGAC